CAAGGGAACCGGAGGCACATGTACTTTGTCAACATAAATCTGGAATTTATGACAAGTTCTAGAATGATGGTTGCAATCGGTTTCCATGGTCGACCAATAATAACCCGCTCTCAGAATTTTATTAGTTGTTGTATGCCCACTGGAGTGAGTACTAAAGACTCCTTCGTGCATATCTTCCATAATCTTCTCATCTTCCTTCTTGTCTACACAATGAAGCAAAGTCGAATCGTAATTGCGCTTGTACAAAATTCCGTTACTCAGAAAGAACTTAGCAGAGAACCTTCTTAGGAATTTATTATCATTAATAGATGCCCCTTCAGGATACTCTTGAGTCTCGAGGTATCTTTTTACTTCGTGGTACCAAGGCTTTTCCTCAACTCTATGAGTATAAATTTTGTAGCAATGACTCGGTTCGTCTAGTCTCTCAATAGTAATTCGAGGAGCTTCATTGTCCCATCTGATTTTGAACATATATGACATCGTAGCCAATGCGTCTGCCAATTGATTCTCTTCTCGTGGAATGTGTTCAAAAGTGATTTCTTCGAAGTATGAAATTAATGTCAACACATGATCTCAATAAGGAATGAGATTTGGATGTTTCGTATCCTATTCTCCCTTAATCTGACTGATCACCAGGGCCGAGTCCCCATATACGTTCAAGAATTTAATCCTCATATCAATGGAAGCTTTGATACCCATGATGCATGCTTCATACTCGGCCATGTTGTCGGTACAATCAAAACACAATCTGGTGGTGAAGGGTGTATGGAAACCCTTGGGAGAGACAATCACAACACTAATCCCATTGCCAAGCATGTTGGAAGCTCTGTCAAAAACCATAGTCCATCGAGATCCCGACTCAGGTCCTTCATACGGTCCAAGCTCTTTGTAATCAGTAAATAGCATAATACTCTCATCCAACAACTCAAAATTCATAGACCGATAGTCATCTACCGCTTGATGAGCCAAATGATCTGCTAGTATACTTCCTTTGATTGCCTTTTGAGTAGTGTACTGAATGTCGTATTCGGTCAATACCATTTTCCATCTTTCTATTCTTCAAGAGAGAGCGGGTTTCTCGAATATGTATTTTATTGGATCCATATTAGAGATCAACAAAGTGGTATGAGTCAACATATACTGTCTTAGTGGGAGAGCAGCCCATGCCAAAGCGCAACAATTTTTCTCGAGCAGTGAGTATCTTGTTTCGTAGTCAGTAAACTTTTTGCTAAGATAGTATATTGCATGATCTTTTCGACCAGACTCGTCATGTTTCCCCAATACACACCCCCATTGAGTTCTCTAATACTGTCAGGTACATGATCAGAGGTTTTCCTTCAACCGGTGGCATTAGAATCAGAGGTTCTTGGAGGCACTCCTTGATTTTGTCAAAGGCCATCTGACAATCGTCGTTCCACTTTACTATTTGATCTTTCTTTAGTAACTTGAAGATTGACTCACAAGTAGTAGTCAAATGGGAAATAAATCTTGAAATGTAGTTCAATATCCCCAGGAAACCTATGAATTCCTTATCATTACGGGGAGCTAGCATTTCTTGAATAGCTTTAACCTTGGCAGGATCAACTTCAATACCTTTACCACTGACGATGAAACCTAGGAGTTTACGGGATCTTTCCCCAAAGGTGCACTTGTTTGGATTCAATCTCAATTTGTACTTCTTCAGTCTCTCAAACATCTTGTGCATGTGGTCAAGGTGTTCTTCTTCAGTCTAAGACCTGGCTATCATGTCGTCAATGTAAACCTCCATCTCATGGTGGATCATATCATGGAACAAAGCTACCATAGCACGCTGATATGTTGCACCGGTGTTCTTCAAAACAAAAGGCATAACTTTGTAATATAAAGTTCCCCATTGTGTGACAAAATTAGTCTTCTCCATGTCTTCAGGTTCCATCTTGATTTGATTATAATCAGAGAAACCATCCATGAAGGAAAATACTTTATGCTGAGCGGTGTGGTCAACCAAAACATCAATGTATGGAAGCGGAAAGTCATATTTGGGGCTTGCCGTATTCAGATCCCTGTAGTCTATACGCATACGCATCTTACCATCCTTCTTAGGTACTGGCACCATACTTCCAACCCACTGCGGGTAGGACGTAACAACTAAGAAACTTGCATCGAATTGCTTCATAACCTCAGCTTTGATCTTTTCAGACATCTTAGGATGCACTCGACGAACCTTCTGCTTATAGGAGGATAACCTTCCTTCATCGGTAAATGGTGAACCACAATATCAGTATCAAGCCCTGGTGTGATCGGTGGGAATATAACTGACTGTTTTTTAGCTGGTTTCGCGAAATGTCGCGGAAGCAAGAGTCGCCACCGTCTTTTATTTTCTCCAACATGGAAAGGACAAAAGCACAACAAAATTCCTTATGAGAATGTTTCTCGGTTCGGGAGGTAGATTTATAGAAAGGGAAGGTGTTAGCACCCTTTCTATCCATGGTTATCCATGGGCTCTTAGGTACTTGCTCTTATGTTTTCAAAATGTTTGCTTTTCAAATGTGTGTGGGTTTGAAAAAGTTTCGTTTAAAGATTTCTGAATAACTCTTGTATCAGTCCTAAAGAGTGTTTGAAAAATTGTTTTGAAAGCTTTTTGAAAAGTGTTGGTGTGAAAAGAGTTTTGATTTGTTTTTGAATAGAGCAAGTATCTATGAGTCATCTACCTACCCTAAGGAATTAGGCTGTGTAAATGTCCTTAAGATAGTGCCATCCCACCATTGAGAGGTAGGTAGCACCATCGTTGGAGGTGTTCGGGTCAATTCGTTTTTAGGGACAGTGTGGTCACCAGAGCAACAGTAGGACACCTTAGAAGCTACCCTTATGCCATTGATCCTTTTTTTATCCGAGGCAAACGTTTCGAGGCAACTGGATCATGGACATAAGGACTTACTAAAACGTCCTATACTCGACGACCACGTTTCGAAGGTAAGGCAACAGGTGAGGCGTACCTGTAGCGGTGAAAATTGGAGATCAAGCTATTAATTAACTTGACTCACAAAAAGCAAGAGTCGCCACCGCGCTTTATTATTTCCAAGGGAAAAGGGAAAAGAGCGAAATAAAACCCTAAAATATGCAATGTAAAATAATACTTAAAAGTAATAAAAATACAATGCGTTTTTGAAAGAGATCGAGAGTTCGGGGGTTGGTTATACAATGGGAAGGTATTAGCACCCAATGCATCTGCGGTACTCCGCAGGAACCTTTTGAAATATCTGTTTTTTGGTTAAAATTGTTTGTTTAGTTAAATGGGTATGGATGAGATTTTTGAAGATACGACGACCTGGTGTCGAAGTTTTGACTTGAAAAGGGGTGTGAGTTTAAAAATTGATTTGTAGGAGATTCGTCTTAAGATTAATAAAACAAAAAAAAAAGGTATGAAGGGATTTCACATAATCGTATTAGATACTCGATGACATGAAGTCAACAAATTAATTTTTTCCCTTGGATTTAAAGCCATAGATAGATAAGTAAGCTAAGAGTATACCAAACCTTAGGTGAAAATAAATCACAAGCCGATAGCATAAAAAAAAACCTGATGTAAGATAATACTTCAAGCATCAGATAAAGCGCAAAGGGGATGGATAAAGCTCACGGTATCAGATAAGAATCCCTGCTTCACAAGATATATATCGACAAATCTAACAGCACAGGGAAACTTATGTGCGCCCGCACAATTTTCAGAAGTTAGTTGGAATTAAAAATAAAATCACAATGTGGTGAAAAATAATATTTTCAAAACCTGAATTTGTTTATAAGTGAAGTGAATAAAATATACAGTCAAAATATTATGTACAGGTATATATTTACAGTACCAAATAAAATAAAAATAATGAAATACAATAAAGAGGTAAAGGGAGAAAGAAAAAGTGAAAATGCGCTATGCGAGTACGAATACTTGAAATGAATTCTCGGAAACCTTCACAGTAACAAACACGTTAGTAACATAAGCAGTATAAAAATTAAAATGAAACGAAATTGCAATGATCAAAACATGTGTCAGTAAGTATAAAATAAAAAATGAAATTGTATGATGCATATGAATAAATGAATATTTACACAAATGAAAATCAAGAATTCATGACATTGTTCAATGTAAACACAAGAAAATCAACCTCATCAAAAGTTGGACAACAACAAATTATGCACAAAAAGCTCATGAAAATCAATTTTCAAGTGATTCAAAACTTATGTACAAACACAATATTAAACCAACAAACTTTGTGAATTGAATTCAATTTGAAACATCATCAAAACAAATTTTAAAATAACTTAAACAACAAAACAACATCAACACCGACAATTCCAAATTAATCAACTCATGCCAAAATTACATTAAGTCCAAAAGTGATGAAAATAAGTTTGGAGTGCAAGTTTCAACAAGGATAAATCCGGGCAGCAACTCGACAATATGTCAGTGCTCCAAAATCAAAGAAAAGTCTCAAATTCAACTTCAACAATTTAATCCAATTTCAATATCATTTTCAATACTTGAATCAACTTAAATTAGAAGACAATGTCATCCTAGATTCAACAACCAAAATTGACATCAATAATTTCGAACAAATACTTAGACAACAAGCACAAAATCCAATTCAACACACACCTTATCATAACACCAAATTGATATCAATATTTCCATTCAATTTTAGCATCAATCGCAATAATGCAAGCATAACTCCATCGTTAAAAAAAAAAAGCACAGATGACTTCAAATTAACATCTTCAATATTCAGTTTAACACAAATGGAAGAAATTAAATGCAAAGGTAATAGGGAAATTGAATCTTACCAATTCACCAAAATGGAATTGGAGATGGAGTTGTTGTTGTTTGCACGAAACATGAACACTGAGATTCGACGCGAGCAAAGGGAGGGAATGAAAGTCCAATGACTTCACCCGGAAACTCGTGAAATCTCTTGGGAAGAACAAATGTATTCTGCACTGACCATTCCCCCAATTGTCTGGCCTCTACATCAAATGCATACACTTGATTTGAAGAAGTTGTAACTATCAGTACATTGTTGTTCTGAGGTGGAAATCCAGCCGCTGTAACAGAGGCACCACCCAATCTCGAAATGAACTGTTGGAGATCTGGCATTGTTTGATGGTTGACTAGCCATTCTGTTTTTTATTTCAGCAGCCATGGCCATGAAAGCCTGTTCCACGTTGTTGGCATTTTTAGCACTAGTTTCCATGAAAGGAATTCCAATTTCATCTGCAAATGCCTTTGCTGTTTCAGAGGACACAACTTTATTATCAGTTAGATCACTCTTGTTTCCAACTAGAAGCTTGTTAACATTTTCACTTGCATAGCGGTCAATTTCATTCAGCCACTGCTTAACATTGTTGAAGCTCTCTTGGCCAGTGACATCATAAACAACAATTATGCCATGAGCCCCACGGTAGTAGCTGCTAGTGATAGTCCGTGTGCGAAGGATGGACGACAGTCCAAAAATGCGGTGGTTGAGCTACGTAGATCTGGAAAGGCAGTCGTCAGAATCTGGAGGGACCGCCGTCGATGTTGGTTCATTGGAGGTGAATGGAGCTAAGTCCACCGTCATCGGGGCTGGCTGGAGGTAGAGTGTCAGAGTTGTGTTGGGTTGCATCGTGAATCTGGTGGGACGGGAGGCGCGGCGGTGGTCTTGCCGCGAAAAGGCTGCCGATATCGTTGTGGTGTTGTTGAGAGCGGCTGTAGCAAAAGCGCGGAATCGATCGGTAAGGATGATGTGACGTGATGTTTGTAACTCTTCACTTTTTTTTCTCTGTAGAACAACCGAACAAAACAACAAGAGAACAAATTTTTCTAGATTTTCCTTATCCACTTTTGTTTATGTAGATGAATGTATTCTCTTGTGAAAATTGCTGTTGTGATTGTATTATACAGGTTTGACGGGTTTGTTTGCTTTTTTGTTGTGTATAGAAGAAGAGAGGAAAAAGTAGTTACTATTTTTGTTGTGTGTGTCCCCCTTTGCAAAGAAAATAAGAGACCTTTAAATAGAACAATGAAGAGGAAAATTGATCTCAAGAATTGATCAGAACCGTTCAAAATCATTAATCCGCAAATTAAGTTATCAACCAATAGAAATAGAGCAAGGTGTATTTAATTTTTTTTATGACAAAAACGCCCTTAAATGGAATAAAAACTGAAAGTATTAAAATTAATTCAATTTAAAATAAATTTTTTGAATAAAAAATAAAGAGCTAAAATGACCGAAAACAATAAAGAAACGGACGAAAATTTATCCGAAAAAATAAAATGAACACGTTAAAATACTCTACATGTCACAAAGATGAAAAAATATTCAAAAAGAGTAAAAATAGGAATAAAATGATAATGAAAATACTAGGCTAAACAGACGTTTTACGGTTAAAAACGAGACTTCAAACTGTATCGAAAAAATAAAGCGAGCATACCGTCATAATCTATGCGAGATGCAGATTCATAAAATGATCGGTAAAAGGTGAAAACTTGAAATATTTTTCTCGCTAATTTTTCGTACATTGTTGAATCGCTTTTAACAGTTTGTCTATAAAACCAAAATATTTTTATTATCGACATATAAACAACTTGGAGCAATGCAAGAAACGAGTAAAGAGATAAAAATGCATGAAGTGAAATGTCAGGTATTTTTTAACTAAAAGACGATGCAAACTTTGATTTAAACTGACTTTTCTGGTCAACTTAAATACGACTAAATGATGCAAAATATGATGAATGAAGATATTTACTAATGATTGTGACCAAATGACAAAATATGGTATGAATGTGCGACTGAAAAAATTAGGGGCGAAATTAAGGGTGCAACGGTGTGCCTTGATGAATCAGTCTTCGAGAATCCACAATCAACCGTACTTCTGGCTTGGGAGACTCAAAACCTTAATTGGGGCGCGACACCTGATGCTCTTGATTCAGACCTGTCTCTGCACATGAAACAAAAGGAAACATGAACATACACCTTTGTATGCGATTAGAAATTAGTGATACATAGGCTAAAAATGTTCAAAACACTTGATAATCTTCGCATAGTCAAAGCTCGAAGGTGAGACGTTAAAACCGACCGTATTTCATGACCTTGACTTATCTTAAAAAATGCAAAAATAAAAATGGGATCTTAGGTCAAAAATTGGGGTACAACAGTACCCTAGAAGTGGTGTGTGAATTTGTGTGTTATTTTCATGTTAAGTTTATCTTTGATCAGGGCATTATTGTGAGCTACGCTTGTTTTTAATTAGCATGCATTCTTTCATACAAGTTTAGCAGTTAAGGGGTGCAGAAAGTAAATTGCGGAAACATAAATCTTATGCTATTACAAGGCGCGGGTCTATACATCGCCAAAAATTACAAAGACCCGTTTTTTTAGTAAATGAGTACAGAAAATAAAAAAACAGTAAAGGTCGTAATTACTATTACATGTCCGGAGCAATTACATAATAATCGAACAAATTAAATGCGCGCGAATAAATTAATCGGGAAAGTCTAAGGGTGTTGACCCTTTTAAGAAATGGAATTGATTTTTTAGTCTTTTTTGTAATTAAAATGAAATTAAAACTAATTAATAACTAATTAATTATTTTAATTAAAAGAAAATATTTTTTGTTTTTTATGTTTTTATGAAATAGAATAAAATAAAAAGAAACAAAATTAAAAGTTAACCTAAATCTAAGCTATTTTAGTTGTTTAAAAAAGTTAAAATGGCCTAATTATAATTAATTTATTTGAGATTTATTTACAAAAATAATAATAATAAAAATAATATTAGTTCAATTTTTGGTTTTTTATGAAAAATGTATTAATTGGTTAATTGCTAATAATAAATAAAATAAAAAAAGGGTTAGAAATTAAATTGAAAAATAAAATGAAAAGAAAATAATAAACCAAATGGAGGGGGTGCTGGGCCAGGAATGGGGGTGTGATGCTGAATCTTGGCCCATTAAGAAGCCAGCTCGTTTGACCCTGGGAATTGAGTGGAATGCTGTTGACCAGGCACATGGTGTTCTTGCTTTCTGGGCCCTTGGATTTGCATGGAAGGATACATGGCTTCTTGGCGCTGGAGTCACATGGTGGACTGTTCTTGATTATGCTGCATGGAAACATTTTGAACAAAATAATAGAAATTATTTGGGGGGACCTGGGATTCGAACCCAGGTCCTAAGGGTCAATGCCTGTACGCCTTAACCAATTGAGCTGTGTGACTTAATTGAAACAATAATAATACACAAATATTATATTAGTAAATCAAATAATCCCCTGGAAAAAAAAGAAGAAAGCGCGCTTATTTCAAACGAACAAATGAGGAGGGGACGCGTCAGCGTCTTCTTCCTTGGACACTGGCTTTTTACCTACGGATTTTTATCCGCAGGTGATTTCGTAGGTTCGTCCTAGAATCGTCCCTAGGCCATGAAAATCCATTTCAAAACCATGGTTGACCTCGTCCATGTCCCCTGATCACACTTATGCCCTTGGCTGGCCTTGATTTAACCTGAAACAAAAACGCCTAAAACACAAGAACGTGAACCCTAGAATCTGGCATCACGATTCAGGGCCTAACAATGAAATTGGCTAATGCAATCATGTTGGAAATTAATCAAGGAACATGAATATGCTAGCTTTTTTGAGAAAAAACGCAAGAATAGGGAATTCCAATTTCATGCTCAGAGACGAGTTTGTGATGACTTACAGTGATGTGTAGGAGGTCTTAGGGCTTGGCAATGGTCGCGTTGGCTTCAGGGGATTTCCAGGAAGAAAGCTACGTCCTCAGTTTTGTATGAAAAGACCTGCAAGATAGCTTTAGATCTCCCACTTTTTGACAGTTTTTTTTGAATTTCTCTCTGGCCGTTTTAGGTGTCTCTTGGTCGTGAATTCTACCAAGAATGCTTGCATATAGGTTATGTAAAGGATATCAATCAGAATTATGGCCATTAACCTTATGCATTCATGCTTGAGATTATGCCATGAACTCCATTGAAACACTTTCCATTTTTGTGTCAAAATTTGAATTTCTTGCTTGATTTAGGCCTTGTACGAATTTGGGATGTAAATGATGGTGATTCAAAGCTATTCAACACAAAATATACCCTTTAATTAATTTTCTTGATTTTTATTTGATTTTAAAAGATTTAAAATGAATTAAATCAAATAAAATTAAATAAAAATGGAAAAATTAATTTTAAATCTTGAAATAATTTGTGGGACACGTGAGAAGCATGGCCAAGCTGAAACAAGTGGAAAAAGTGGGCCCCTTTTGTCAAAAATGAAATTTCAAGGATAATTGACTTTGGCCATTTCACAAAAATTTCCCAACTTCTCCAATGCATATCTTGCTCAATTTTGAAGCTATGAACATGTTCTTGGACATTTTGGAAAGGTCTTGAAGTCCTCTAACCAATGTATTTGGTCCCATGTAATTTTGATTTACCAATCTCAAGTTATGGCCATTGACTTAAAGTCCCTTTTTGTTGACTTTTGAAAATAACCTATAATGTTGAAATTGATAACTTTTTGTGAGAGCATTTATTGGACTTGGAATGTGAAGATGAGTTGTAGGAAATGTCATCCCCTTCAAGATGAGCATTGGATGTGATTTTTCTGATAAACCATGAAGAAGTTATGCCTTGGTCAATTTGCAGTTGACTTTTCAGCTGTCCAAAAATAAAAACTTTTGCATCTTGAGACTTTTTGAGCCATGCTTGAGGAATCATGATCAAGAATTGATCAAATGATGATTGTGGCTTCAAAATAAGATGTTGACCAAATTTTTTGACTTTTTGACTGCCAAATGACCATTTTGCCCCTACAATTGACTGTTGAGCAATTAGGGTTTTTGATTGTGCAACTTGACCTTGTGAGCCTTGAAACTTGACATGTGGATGCTTGACAATGTGTATGAGCATATGGGACTTGATTGAGCCCTTGAAAACCTCAATTTCCTTGCAAGAACCAAAACCCTAATGTTGACTGTGTTAGGAGGATGGTTGACTGGGTAGCCTTTGAGAGATTTTGAATCATCTGAAGATTGATCTTGGAAAATCTTGAAGAATATGGGAGGGCAAATTTTGGGGTACAACACCTGGCATATCTTCGTACGACCAAGCAAAGATCTCAACATAGTCACGCATCATCTGGATTAATCTCTTTTTGACACTATCTTCTAGGTTTGCACCTATCTTAACTTATTTCTTGTCCTCTTCAGTACCCGAGTTCACAACCTCAACTTGCTCTTCATGCGGTCATATGGATCTTTCTTCTTGCATTAACAGCCTAGCAAGCTCTCCAGGTATTCACAATCTTCCTTTCCTTCGTCCTCAGCTTGGTAGATCGGATTTTTAAAGTCATTATTGACAATAGCAGAATTGTTATCAATAGGATCCAGGGTGGATATGGATCTGCAATTTGTTGTGTGGGTGTGTGTAAGAATACATAGCTATTTTTGAAAACAATAAAGTAAAAGAAAGACAAAGAGCGAAAAATTTGAATGCAAACGTGCAATGATTTTTTAAATGAAAATATGCTGATGAATAATGACAACCCTAACAAATGGGCCGTTGTGCTCTGGGTAAGGCACAAGGCTTAAAGCTTATTGTTTAAATTACATAACCAAAAAAAAAACTTGAAAGTAAGAAAACAGAAAATAACATTTACTCCTGACTAAAGGAGATTGCTATAAAGTCTTCAGTCTTCCAATTATTGAGCCCACTGCCGGTAGTAGGGAAGATCCAACTGTCTATGTCGCAATCACTATCAGTGTCTTCCACAAGGTTGACATGATTGTTGTGAACTCTATTATTGTTGATGCGAAATGGAGGTCTCCCAGAATTGGTACGAGCATGACAGACAACCCTCTGAGCTTGTGAGGTGAAACCCAAACTAAATTTGTCAGATTTATAAGTAATATCAGGAAGCTGACCCCAAACAGTGCAACCGCCTTCTTCAACCATAACCCTAGCGTCTTTCAGAGAAGCCGTTTTTGATGGAATCTTAGGAACCACAGGAGCAACTTTATCAATCGGGGCTGTATGAGAAATAACTTCAAAGGTCTAGCAAGGATTCTTGACGAATTCACCATCCATTTCAACATACTTGAAAGAGTTTAAATGGCTCACCATGTATTCTTCTTCACCGCAAACTATAACAATCTTTCCCTTCACATGATACTTCAATTTCTGGTGTAAGGTAGACGTAACAACACCTGCCCCATGAATCCAAGGGCGTCCAAGTAAACAAGAATAGGCTGGACGCATGTCCATCACATAGAAAGTAGAGTCGAAGACCTAGGAACCCACTTTGACTTTAAGATCAACCTCTCCATGCACCATTTTCTTTGAACCATCAAAAGCTCTCACCACAATGTCACTGGGTTTTAGCACAATCCCCTCACAGCCAAGTTTGTCTAAAGCAACTTTTAGTAATACGTTAAATGAGG